TGGCTTACAAAGATTTATACAGTAACTAAACATAAAGTAAACGAGAAAATAAAGTAGAAGGGACTATCAAGTGAAAGAGAAACCAAGATGAAGCCTGGGTAGGGTCAGTTCACAGAATGTCTGCATAACGTGGCATGCAGGTGCAGGTGACCGAGGGGGCCGACAGTCTGGCTCTGAGAGTCCTGGCAGCTAAGAAAAGAGGCAAACTCGAATGGTTTAGGGTTCATGTTGTCCATCAGATAAGAGTAAACCCATCAGTCAGGCCAGCTTTCTGAGACCATTAAAAATCTGCACCCTTGCCTCGTAGTGGTTGAGTAGTGATATGAATAATGTCTGAGGTTACATTCCCACCATAAACACAGTGGTTAGCTTTATTCAGCTGTTCTGATAACACGGTAAAAGGCAATTTATGGCATCATCAAAATCACTTCTACAAGAGCCAGTGCACTATGGTGCAGCTCACACCTTTCTGCTGGTTAAACTTAATTTACCAAGAACATTTAAAGAAACAAAAGGAAAGAAAGATCAACTCTGCAGCCTTGGTGATGAACACCCATGAGGGATTATTTCTTCCAAATTTAACAGGAATTGAATATTTAAGGGTTAATATTATATTCTCTTGCGAGGATTTAAAGAGTCAGAATTCTGCGTAGTCATTTTGGGATAAATGTATAACCTTTGAGGGTGTCCTGAGCAGGACAGGATTATTTCCTCATTAAAATTAACTAGCCAGTTTATATACTTGAAAGTACAGCCATTCAGCCTCTGCCTGGAGGTGGCCTGAGGGGAACACCCATGGGAGAATCAAAACTGTCCTAAAAAATTTATCCTTTGGGGACACCAACAGAAGGCAAAGGGGACAGGGAGACCCTGGTGACTTACTCCATAGAGCAAGGCAGCAATGACGTTAGCCTGGAAAACTTTCAGAGTGGGTATTATCAGTCATCCCCAAACCAAGAAAAAAAAAAAAAAACAATTAAGAAACCTATAAGAACCCACTGAATGTCTAATTTTAAGTGATGCGTTTTGGAGATGCCTCCAGGAAGAGGTGGATACAAATACACTATTAGATAGTTCAGTATAGGTGGGGCATCTGCCAAGAGTTTCAGAGTGGTTGGTTTAAGCCTTTTTGTTTTTGATGGCAGAACCACTGTGATCTTGATGCATAATTTGCATGAAATTTAGAAGTACCATTTGATTCTGCCCTTTTCCACTCCTCCCAACTTGACTCTTATTCCCTTATTTTATTTTCCTGCCTCTCTGTAAGATGGCAAATAGGTACTATGCCAGGGCCAACCGTAGGGGGCTCTCTGTTTAGAAAAACATTCCCAAGCCTTGTCTATGCTCAGCATGAAAGAATATTCTGGCCTGGAACCCTGTCTGAGAAGGACATAGAAGGGTGAAGTGGTGGTCTGAGGCTCTGCCAAGCTTTCTCCTCTTCTCTTGCTACCCAATTTATGGTTTTCAATGCAAAAAATATCAATGGTATCAGGCCCTATCTGGGATATAGAAGGAGATAAAAACTGGAGTGGAAAAGAGACCCTACCCACAAATAGCTTTCAGTCTAGATTGCAGAGTAGGTAAGGCATACTCAGATAACCATAATGTCAGGTATGATATAAACTATAAGTATTGATAGGAGGGAAAATGCCCCCAAGGAAATTTACAGGCTATCCCCCCCTTTTTTTTGGTGAGGAAGATTGGCCCTGAGCTAACATCTGTTGCCAATCTTCCTCTTTTGTTTTTTTCTCCCCAAAGCTCCAGGACATGGTTGTATATCCTAGTTGTAAGTACTTCTTGTTCTTCTATGTGGGATGCTGCCACAGCATGGTTTGATGAGCGGTGGGTAGGCCTGTGCCCAGGATCCAAACTGGTGAAGCCCAGGCCGCTGAAGTGGAGTGCACGACCTTAACCACTACGCCACTGGGCCAGCTCCCTGCCCCCAAAGAAATTTAAGAGGATACTGTGTTGTCTTCTTTTGCCCCAACTCTCTTAGTTCAGTTCAAAAAATCTTTGTGCACCTGCCAGGTACCAGGCCCCACATGAGGGGCTGGGGGTCCAGCGGGAATCAAGCACACTCCTTGCCTTCAAAGAGGTGCTTCCAGCCAGAGTCATCAGAGCTTTGTAAAGGTGTCTGCTTGAGACAAAGGACATGATCTTTCTCGGACTGTTTTGGTATGGCCCCTCAAATAGCCCCACACCCGGGAGGAGAGAGAGCAAACATTTTTCCAGGAAAGGCATTAACTCAAATTGAGACACGGCAGCTGGAAATTGGCAAGGTGCCCTGAGAATGTTGGGGAAGTGATTTATTTTTCCAACCTCGCCACAGGAACCAAAGCCCTGGCAGATGCCTCCATGAGTTAGTGGCAGCTGATCTGAGTGAGATCATTATTAATTATTAGTCACTTTCGAGTGTCTTTCTCAGAAACTACAGAGTACTTGGGAAGCCCAGACGCTCTTGAGTTGCAATCAATACTGTGTGCACCTTGTGCAGGGACCTGAGTGGCATGGAATAATAAAGCAGTATTGATTCCTGGCAGAGGGGTTGAAAATGCACAATTTTTTCACATGAAAATCAGCTAGATCTCCAAAAGCCTTGATTATTTTTTTTCCTCAAGAAAGAGACCAATGGTGGGAGTAGAAAATTTGAAATGTTAGCTAAATTAGGGCTATTTCCTGCCAGGAGCCAGATCTGTACACATAATTATTTTATTCTCTGTGCTGGCATTGATTCATGTTGTTTGAGTGTTGGAAATATCTCTGTTTTGGGTTTGTAATCCAAATTATTCAGCTGGTTCCTGTGATGATGTTTTCTACTCTCATCTTCACTATATTATTTTTCCGTAAAACAAATAATTGCCTGTCTGGAACTTAACTAGTCCCTATTCCTCAACACACCCCTCGTTCCCTTCCCTAAACCTGCTTTTCTGCCTCTCTATCACACCATCCGCCATGCCTCTTGGCCAAGAACTTCACTCACTCTCACAAACCCCATAGTCACTAAATTTTGCCTATTTTATTTTAGCCTTATTCTGATTTCTACTTCTAAGCATCCACTCCAGTCTTATTATAATGACTGGAACTCTGGATAGTTTTTAGTCTTTCTTCCTTTTGGCTGCATCTCCATCCTTACCAGGGATTATGAACATAGACTGTCCAACTGCCTTTGCTTAACTCATCAATGCCGTGTCATTTTCTTCCTGGATCCATAGAATGGCCTCACACTGTGTTTCAGCTTTTCATCTTGCCCCCTGCCATAGCTGTTAGGACGCCTCTTGAAAATGCAAGTCTGGTCGTGACATTTGGCTGCAGGCGGTCCTCCAGTGGCTCGCCATTGCCCACAATCTAAGGCAGACAAATAACTGTTGGTGTGGAAGTGACAGACATTCAGGTCAAAAGATGCAGCTGATGTCTCAGGCCTCAGAGGTTATTGGAAGACAGCAGGTCCGAGGATTGCAAGCAGGAGCCACATCAGGAAGGCCTCCTCGTTCATGGGCTTCTTTGGAGTTTCACTGTCTGTGGTTGGTTTAGCTGGGGCTGTGACAGAGAGCTTTTGTACTAGAAAGCTGTATCCTGGTTGTATAGAGCTAGCTTGTCAGTGTGACACAGTCACAGTCCATTCTGTTTTGAGTGACTCATGTTTCCTCAGCCAGACAGTGAAGTGTTGTTGAGAATATTACACGGGAATGGACCCCCTGATATGTCGCTCCAAACCTCGTATTCGAGGAAAAGAAACTAGGCTCTGACACAAAGGGCCTGCAGCATTTCTCAAAAGAGGCACTACTAGTGTGTGGCATGGGAAAATATTTTGTAATGTATGACTATCCTGAGCATTGCGATGTTTAGCATCCCTGGCCCCTCATGCTAAATGCCAGTCATGTCCCCCAGTCATTGGGACAACCAGAAAAACTCACACATGCCCCGACACATTCCAACCACTCCAGGGATTGGGGAACGGTACTATCCGTAGTTGAGAAACATTGCCTCCTGTGACTATTAAGATAGTCTCCTTTCCTGAGAACATAGGGAAGAGCCGGATTAATCTGTGATCTTTCTATCACTCCTGTTGCCTCTTCATCTTCTGGAATGATTGAGCTCAGATTGAAGTCACATTGCCTGGCTTTGAAATCAAGCTCCATTACGTACTGGGTTTGACCTTGAATGTGGGCATGACCTTGAACAATTACTTAGTCTCTCTGTGCCTCAGTTTTCTCATATAAAATGGGGGATAATAATAATACCTATCTCAGAAGATGTTTGTGAGGATTAAATAAGATAAAGCATGAAAGGTGCTTACCACGCCGTCCAGGGTTGGAGGCATGGTAATAGTAGGAGATAACCTTGATGCTTCCTGAGCTTAAGGGTCTTACTTGAGCAAGAAGTTGAAATTAACACTTAAAGGTGAATACTCTAGAAAATAAAGAAAGGCAGCATGGTATATCATAAAGGGTAGGGGACTGGGTGGGAGGCAGTAAATTCCCTCGGACCTTCAGCCATTAATTACTGTGTGGCCTTGAATATTTCACTTCACTTCTCTGGTTTTTGCTTTTTTAATCTATGAAATGTTTGCCCTACGTGGTGTCAAAAAGATTGAGTGACATGAGCATGCAAATGTGCTTTCAGACCTATAGAATCTCATAAACAGTTTGGTGATACATAATAAGTTACTTATTATACACTGGTGTTTCCTCCCCTGATTTGAAAACCCCCATCAGCCAATCAGGAGAACCCGCTTAGTGGGAACTTCTTGGGAGACGTATGAACCTGGAGAGTCTACTTGCATGGTAGATGGAAGGTGGTTCTCTATGACACTGAATTACTCTTTGTCACCCCGTCCCTGCCAATGTGCCCCCAATAGCACAAGAGAGGAAGAGCCTTCGGGCATGTGGGCATCTCTGTTAAGAACTCACGTCCGCAGTTCAGCAGCTTTCCCTGCTGGTTTCCGGACACCCCCCGCCAGAGCCTGTTTCCTTCATGGTTGTGTGCTTGTTGCCCCACAGCAACAAAGGCGAGAGAAGGAGCTGCGGAAGCAGCAGGAGCGGGAGCAGCGCCGTCACTACGAGGAGCAAATGCGCCGGGAGGAGGAGAGGAGGCGTGCGGAGCACGAGCAGGTACAGCTGCGACCAGGGAGCCCCACAGGTGGCCCCAGCGGGAACTCCAGTGCCAGCCATCTCTGGGGTGTGGGTCACCTTCTCTTAGGACTGCTCAGTTTAAGCAGGTTTTTACTCTTTCTCAAGCAATTATTCTTACCTATTCAAGAAGTCAAATGCACAACCTTGGCAATGCCCACTCATTCAACCTTGCTGCCTACCCAAGCCAAAGTCCCCGGGCTTACCTTGATCTTCTGATTCTCCCAGCCCTGGGTATCTACTTTGAAGGTAGCACTGAAGCATGATAAATGAGCCACGTCCTCCTCTTTCATTGCTTCAGAAGAGCTTTTCTACCATGCCGTCTCTGGTCTCCATGACTTTGAGCCATTGATGCAGGCCTCCCTCTCTTTTTGTTAGGACCACATTCTAACAGCACAGTGAAACTTGGCAGGATGGTTCCGTTACAAAGACTGTGCATGATGGCATTCAACAATTATTTTATCGCTGCTGCTTGCACAGGAGCCTCTGAATTTCATAGCATTGTTAATTCCAGGTAGCACGTAAAGAGGGAACCTGTAGTAAAAAGCTTTAAAGTGTAGCTGGGTTTAGTAAAACCTAATAGTAGCAGCAAAGCCCTGAGCCGTCTCAGCCAGCTGCTGGAGCTGGAGGGCTTGTGCTTTTGACTGCATTGAAATGCTTTGGCTTCGGTGCGGCATACTTTTCCTGTTCTGTGAGGAGGTGTCTGGGTATTTTTTTCCATCCTTCCTTTCACACTTTACTTGGCAGCTCTTGTCACCTTTGAAATTACCGGTTCTTTTTCTCTCTCTTTCTCTCTTTGTTTTCCTCTGAAATCTCTGCTGCCTACCTCTCCAGGAGTACATCAGGCGACAGTTAGAGGAGGAGCAGAGACAGTTAGAGATCTTGCAACAGCAGCTACTGCATGAACAAGCTCTACTTCTGGTAATGGGAAAGCCAAGAGCCAGCTGACCTGCTCTGTGTTCATTGTGTGTGTGTGTGTGTGTGTGTCCTCCTAATGTGCCGGTCCGGAAGAGGAGATCTTTCAAGCCTCATTAACCTCTAAAATCTCACGGAGACTTAATACATTTCCTGACCCAGTTTGCTGAGTCTTAATACATTTAATACACTGGTTATGCATTCTTTATTAACTCTGTTTATTTGTGAAACTGTAACATGAATCCAGCCTTATTATAAGTTCAGACGGTTTTTGAGACCCACTGTGTTTATTGCAGAGTAATTTTTCAGGTCATTTGCAACATGCTGGAACACAATCATGGCAAAATGCACCTCTTCCAGAAGAACCCTCTCAGCTCTGCAGTCATATTTCATTTGCAGACTATTAGTTTTACCCTTACGATGGGAACATTTTGTGTTCCCTGCTCATGCGGCTTCCACTTGAAGTACTTTTTTATTATTATTACACTGCTCTCCAAATGAGCTTGGCGTATCTTTTTTTTTAACTGAATTTTTTATTCACTGAAACTATGATATTTTTTAGCCTGTACATAAGCTTGCTAATGGCCTTTGTTGGTCCAAGTTTTGTTAAACAAAAGATGATTTAGGCAATATCTTTCATTGCTAATTTACTTTTGTACCTAACTGTACATGTTTGAATGGTTTAGTTAGTCAGTCAGGAAGTGGATGGCTCCTTACTGGGGTAGTGTCCTGACCGTCCAAATGCCTGCATTATTGCCACTTCTTTGGTTGCAATTCGTCAGGGGCAAGTCACTTTGCAATGGGTGGTGTTCTGTAAGGACCACTATTAAAGCAATGGTGTTTTCATTAAATGCCATATTCTGTGTAGATGCTAACCTGAGGCTGTAGCTTACCTCTATGGCACATCCTGACATCTTCCTGGGGTTCTGTTCGCAGTAAGGCCCTTTGCTGTCACCTCCTTTGCCTCCATTGCATGCTTCTCTGATACTGGTCAGTGGTTTGCATATGGTGATTTGGCCTTTTCTTTGCTCCCCTTTCCTGATCTGGACAGGAATATAAGCGCAAACAATTGGAAGAACAGAGACAAGCAGAAAGACTACAGAGACAGCTAAAGCAAGAGAGAGACTACTTGGTTTCCCTTCAGCATCAGCGGCAGGAGCAGAGGCCTGTGGAGAAGAAGCCACTATACCATTACAAAGAAGGGATGAGTCCTAGTGAGAAACCAGCATGGGCCAAGGAGGTAAGTAAGCAAGCAAGTGTAGCCATGCCCTGTTGGCCAGGCGATTGGCTGTAAGGAGTTCATCCAGTAGAAGCAGAGAGTTAAACTAGTGTTACTAAGTTGGAAAACAATTCCTTGTAAGATGCACATGCTTTGCTTTTGGAAGAACCATTGTTTCTGTAGAGAACTGGCAAGGCACGTTAACTCATTTGGGTTCTTTTCTTTTCTTTTTTTTGTATCTTCATGGATACAGTAGACTTTTGTTAATAACAACGGGAAGTAGAAAAGTCCTTTTCCTTATAGGAGTCCAATTAAGTTTGTGGCATGAGGAGGATTTTTAGTGACTTTTCCATGGAAGAATATGATTTAAGGCTTAAGGAATTCTAGGTAGAATCATTTCCTATCCATACCTGGACCCTGAAAGTGATCATTAGCGTTGTTGCTAACATTCCCTTGTTCTTTTGTGATACCAATGGATGCACAGTTGGCCTCAGATTTGTGGTTGTGTTATTCACTTCCAGGGTCAGAGGTCATTTGTATTTCTTTTGCAAATACTTCCAAAGTAATAGTCCTTCATTTGCTCCACTGTCAACTAAGGAAGGATTTTCAGGAACTTGGCTCTGTGATGAGCTATTTTAAAAATCTAATTAAAAACTGTTTGGACAGTAGAAAAAAGGGCAATAACCAAATGGATAAAGCGAACAAGTGAAATAATAACTCCAGCCCAAATCAGCAACCCTTCCAGGAGTCACTGTGTCAACTCATGTGCGTAACACCCTGGTTTTCAGTTCTGTCATTGTTTGTGGCACCTACTGATTTCCTTTATTTTCTTGTGAGCATAGGTACACATTTCAAAGGATGCTTATGGTGTCTTGTATTTTGTTCTAGCATCTTCAGGTATTTATAGCGAGACCTTGTTTCAAATTATCTAGACTACACTATTATCAGAACCAGACTTCTTACATAAGCTCCTATTTTTATAAAAGTATTTCTTTTTATTTTTTCATTCTGTCTTACATATGTATAGAAAATGCTTAAAATGATGTTGTGCTAATGTTGATGATGGTTGTTTATGGAAAGTGAAAACTGCAGAATTTTTTTAAAAAAATGTTTTTGTACTTTTATATATGGTTTAAATCTTTTATAATGATCATGTACTGTTTTTACAAAAACTCTTTTCTTTTAAAACTTAAAAAACTAAATCTGTAGAGAAAATCATGCTATTCAGTGTAAAGAATGTTTCTGATCACTTTCCCTTAGAGTGTGTAAACATGACTTGTATCTACTTATGTCTGTAACAGCTGCCTCTTTCTCTGAGATCAGTAATTCCAATTTGTGATCCTACTCCCAGGTACGGCGTCGGCCCCTTAATAACCCACCTGTTCTTCCAGCTAAGCAGAATGACTGTGCTGTTAAACAGCAGCTAACATGCGTCCTGGCTGGCAAAGGTGTGCCACCTTCCTCCACTGCTAAACCATTTTCTAGCCATGCCAAATTGAAACCCTCAGCTAAGCCAGACTCACAGCTCCTGATCATGGCAGGTGTTCAGAAGGCTGAGAAACTAGCCTCTACTAAGCTAATGCCAGTAGCACCTGCAGAAGTTAATGATTCCAGATCAAGACTCCTGTTTGAGCATCACTCACAGAGGAAAGATGGATCAGCTTGTCCTATTAGACTTGGTCTTGAAGAACAACTGAAGCCTCAGGAAGTCTCAAGGACCACAGTGAGACCTCCAGAGCGATCTCGCTCCCAAGGATGTAGCCCAAGTCGAGAGTTAGGATCTAAGGTCATTTGTGTGTCCTCTCCCAACATCTCCAAAGTGACAAGCCCCAAGTTGTCCATTACTGCAAATAAGGCGGGCCTTAGAGACTCATGTGGGCCTCAGGGCAGGAGGGGCATGAATTCATGCATCCTTACAAGTACCTCAACTCCTCTAAGAAGTGCTGCATCGCTAAATAACCTCTCTTTGATGCATGACCACGTGGCCCTCAGTGTTCCTGGCCCCAAGCGTGAGTTTAGGGGAGGGCCACCTACAGATCCCCTTGGAGAATACTGTAATTCTTTGCAAAGCATTCGAGAATTCCTTCTTTCCCCTATGCAGCTTCCTCAGGCACAAATGTACCAGAAAAGGGGAAGAAGCCTGGAGCAGTTTCCACTTCCTTCCTTCAGACTCTACCCAGCATGTTCTGATTTGAACTTAACCACTTTGACTTCATTGTTACCTAGTTACTATTTGTCCTCATCACTAAGTTTCCTGGCCTGTCCTCTCCATTCAGAAGTAGTTCACAGTTCCCGAGCTTTCAGAAGCCATGGTATTCCTGGGGGAAGATCTTTGCAGATGTCATCAAAGCAGTTTTCTAGACCTCCTAATTCCCCTGTGCTTCCTGGCCAGGCTCCCAGCAGTAAAAGAAACCTAGCAGTTGGGCATGCAAACAACATGGCTGTGTCATCGAGCACTCCAGATGTGAGGTTCCCTGGCCATTATAAGTCTGGGCCCCCTCTGGTGGGTGACATCTTACAAGGTCCCTGGCTTCCTAGCAGCTGGTGCTTTTCCTTCGGGCTTCAGGCACTTCTAGACATATGTGGGAACATTCTTTTGGGATTTCATGTTTAGTCCTATCCTCTGGGTGTGGATATAAGCTGGATTAACATAATCCAGCTTCCAACTAACTATCAATCTATTCATTAAACAGTTCCCAAGTCTTAGAGTGGGTGTTCATATTTTAGAAGACAGATGAAACACTTAGATGATAGAATGAGTGACAGTGCTAAATTTGGGATTGGAGCAAGTGGTGTGCTAATAAGAACAAATAATTGTCTGCCTTGGTTTGATTCATCATTTTCTTAACACCCACTTCTTAAAATGGGAATAAAAATGAATATGAGGATCCTTATCTTCTTGATCTTTTAATGCTTCTCATCAGCAATGTATGAACTTTTCTTCTAAAGCATTATTCACAGGTTTCTTTTCCTATAGTAGGGAGGTAGGTGGGTCTGAAAGTAGACAAGCAGTAAAATACATTTCAAGACTTTAGATAGGGACAGAATCTCTAGCTCAGCAGTGTCTTAGTTATCAAACAATACAAATAACCTGGGTTAAACTCGCTTTTGGAGGTAGAATGAAAGATACCATTTTCTTATTCAGATGCATCCTCTGCTAGGATATAAATTTGAAAATGTCTGTGCCAGGAATGGGTGGGCTGCTCTGCCCATGCCACAGTCTCCTGTGATACGGGGCTGGGCTCTTTTGTCACGTATGCCATTGAAGGTCCTGCCCAGCCACCTTCCACCACTGCAGCCTCTTCTGTAATCTTCTCCATATTTGTTTTCTGACTTGACTCTATACCTTCTCATGAAGATGGGTTTTCCTTCTTTGATTACTTTTCCATCCACTTATTTCTCTTCCTTATTCCAGATCAACAGTTTTTCATTAGCAATGTGACGTTATAAAGCTTGATCTTCTGCGTTTTTCTTGCTTCATTTTGTAAAACATCTGTCATCATCGCGTTTCTCATTACCTGTCTCATTAACTTGTTGGATGCAATAAGAACAAATGAAAATACTCGATAATTTGCAAATCTTGTTGCGCTCTTCCCACTTTCCTTTTACTGAGTAGTCTATCTGTTCTGAATGTGACATTGACTTTGATTTTCAGATTTCAGCCAGAAAGGAACATGAATGTCTCTATTAAAAGGAGGGGTACAGGTATTCTCATTCCTTTCAAATTCTCTCCCATTTCTGGATTGGGATGGAAGGCAGATCTGTTCTGTGAAAACATCAGAATGATATTCTGTTAAACATCAGCAAAACTTGAACTTTTTTTTATATTGTCCCTTTTTGAAAGATAGATTCCTTTTCTTATAATGTCTTTTTCTTTTAATGGGACAGATTTCTGTTCCTTATAATGGCATGTGATTGTCTGGGCCTAGCAGTAACTGTGTGTGCCTCCCCGACCAACACGTACTTTTTTTTTATTTTCACCAACACACAGCAGTGACAGAATGCTCTGTCTACTTGAGGATTGCATGAGATGGTATTTTAACTTTTTTTTAACACTCCATCATGTTCTTTCTCTGTGATGCATGCCAGTCATCTGGCTATGGTTTTATTTGGCAAATAATGGGCCACGATGTCTCTTTATATCCCGTTAGCCCATTGTGCTTTGAAATCCCTGTACATAAGAACTCCTTCTCCCCTTGGTTTTCTCTGCTCTACACTGATGTGTGTTTTCTTTTTATGTGAGTTATTTTATATATGAGGTCCCAAATTGCCATTTAGAGAGTGTATAGCTCTGCTCCCATCTTTCCTCAGTTTCTGCTTCTCTCTCTTAAGATTTAGCATAAGAGAGACTTGTAAGGAAGTAGTAAGGAGTTTGAGTTCCAGTTCTTCCACTTCCTGGCTATGTGACGTGGGACAATCTCACAACTTTCCTGAGAGGCACCTTTCCCATCTGCCCTTCTTGCCTCGCAGTTGGGAGGGTCCCGGGTAATTGTCTGTGTGAATGTGCCATGGAAACTGGAAGCACTGACAAATGCAAATGAAGTATAGTATGCAGCATATTCACATTCTGTTCCCAAGGCCATTGTCACCTACAAGGAATAAGTGTTTTGCCTCTGTTGTTTCTGGTTTGGATTTTACATGGGCAGTTCACGAGCATCTCCCGTCTCCCCCACCCACCTCTCCCCAGTAATAGATGTGCACTTCCTCATTTCCCATCCCAGCTTGCTAAAGATTTGCCTCATTGCTTTTAAGTTATATGCTCCGTTCACATGAGGATTTATACTTTTCTCTGGAATGAGTGATTAGGAGTGGATCTTGGAAAAGTAGTCCAGGCCCTTGTCTTCAGGCGAGACCACATTTTAAGCATTTCATAGGAGTGAGCATCTCCCTTGTCCTCAGAGGTGACTTAGAGAAGGAGTAGCCCCAGTCTTGCTCAGTAACCATTGGCCCGCGTGGTTTTGCCAAAGGACAGTATGATTCAACTCTTTGTGTGACCAGTGAGTGCAGGGTCAAAGTATCTGGGGAGCACTTAAAAGTTATTTGCTGACTTCTTTCTTTTTCTCCAACATTGCCAATAAAGACAAAAAAAAACTGTTTTGTTCAGTTGGATAAAAAAGGAATTCCCATACAATTGTGTTCAAGTCACCACATATTAGCTCTTAAGTAAGGCCTTTTAAGTCCTTCATAGACCCCTACGGATCCTGCATCTTATAAAATGTTTTAAAAATGCATCCATATTACATAGTAAATATATTTTTGCTGTCAACATTTTAAAAATTACTTCTATAATTTTGTTTTGAAATTCTCTCTCAGCGAGTATCATTCATTATTGCAAAGTGAGCATTGTAAGCTATAAATTGTTTTCAAATATATGAACCAGTTTAGCAATTGACATTGATATAATGTTTCCTCTTGTATATGCTTAAACATGTTTTTATTCCTTTTGAAAACCTTTTTGAAATCTTGTAATCAAAACTTTTATTTTCAGGTCTTCTGTATTTGTGGTCTTTCTACATCTCAGAGGCCTTAGACATCACTCTGATCGTACCCAATGGACAGCACAGCCTGCCTGGAGCAGAATTTTATTTCTGAGACCACAATTATTTTTTCCTTCCCCTCATAATACTATAATAAATAGTATAGCATTTCTGCAGAGGTGATCCAAATCTTCCAAAGTTATTTTAGTTTTGATGTAGAAACAATCCTTTTAATAAGAGAAAAATTGGTTTTATAGTAAACTGATCAAGCTCTCCTAATCTTGTTCTCTATATTCATTGAGAATCCCTTCAACTGTGAAATCCTTCGTAACACGTATCTTTTGTTGTTGTGCTCTAGCATCCTGACACTCTGTGTCCCATCATGCTACTAGAACACTCTTTTTTGGTTGTACTTCTGATATTTTACATCTTCTTGGCAGCAGGAGATTAGAGCAGAGGCTCAGCTAATAGATTTTTTTTCAGTATCACACAAGGCAGATTGAAACGTATCTTGATTGTACCCCAGTTTTTAATCGCATGTATCCTTATTCTAGGAGGAGAAAAGACATTTTTGTTTTTGGTCTTTTTGTTTTGGTTTTACTCATGTGTCTATCTCCTGTTCAGTTAGTAGACATGAGATGTGATGACTCAGGAGACAGGACTTTGCCCAGTATCAGAATAATTGGAAGGGGCCTGCTTCTAGACACACTACCCAGCTTCCCTTCTGTTCATCTGAAACTGTTAATTAGGATGTCTGATACGACATCTTTGCTCCAGTACTCCTGCTCTTCCTTTGGTGCAAAAGCAATGGGCAGCATTATCTTCCTAAAGACTTTAGGATAAGATTTTCTAGAGACAAAGTATGTAGCCAGATGCCCCATTCTTATACTTTTCTTGTAGATTTTCAGATTTCTTTAGATAAACTCCAATCCAGGGAATTTCACCTCACTGGGTCATCCTGAAATAGTTTGCAAAGTGTAATAATAGATTGATTATGCCATATAGTTTAGAATGGTACAGACTGAAACATAGTAACAGTAGGATTTAGCATGTAAGTCAACTGATAGAAGGTATGGGAAGTTTTCCTAGAAGTGCATCAGTAATATCTATACACAACTAATCAAACCCATTAATTGCCTATGAAAATCAGCACCCTGCGTTCAGCCCTGCTCATTTCCAGTGACACCTCTAGGGCCCGTGTGGCCTCTGGTCCTATTAGAGGCAAGGATGCTTCCTTTACTGGAGCTTTGCTGCTGGCAGTTGCGAAAAGAATTCTTTATCTCAAAAGTGGTTTGTTTGCTCAAGATGGAGTCTTTTGGAGCAGACTTTCGACTGCTGTTTTTAATGTGCTGTCTTTAACTGTATGTTTAAAACTGAGTGTATTTTACAGTTAAAAAAAATAATAATGACAAGTATTCTTCACTCTCTGAATATATTTGGTTCCAGAATGTTAGGTAACTGATGCCTGTGGTTTGCGTGGCCAGGTTTTTAATCTGAAAACATGGTTGAATCTCTTGGGCTCCTGGGCTCAGACAGCAATGGTTTAGATGGTGGGAATTCAGATCGTGAGCTGTGCCTTGTACATACGACTTATCTATTAATGATCTTTCCTGGAAATAAGAAAATGGCTAATATTTGACTAATTCTAGTGGTCTGGAAATAGTCACCTTCTTTTCAAAGAGTCTGGTATTTGGAAAAGCAATGCATTGCATGCCTTGGTCTTAGTTTATCTGTTGCTGTTTTTGTGGGACTTCCTCTTCTTTGTGGTCTTACCTTGAAGCTGGCTTTGTTCTCTTCTTTTGCTCAGTGCAATAGCCAAGTAATTGCTGATGTAATACTTTGCACACAGACCTACACAAAGTATACATGTTGTGGTTTATATTCTTGGCTTTTTGCAGCTAATCTTATTTGGTATGTGGTAAGCTTCTGGGACATGGAATTTCAAAACCAGAGTCAACTGGATGCTAATTGTATGTACCCTGCACAGCCATAGTGGGGGAAGAGATGTTCAAATCACCCCTAAGTAGAGGCAGTTGGGTGGTTTTCTGTTCTGTATCATATCTTAACATGTTAAAATGTTTGCAGTTAATATGAGAGTTTAAAAAACCAACGATTGTGTATGTGAGTCTGAGTCTGCCTCTAAAAAGATTCAAAATGGGATAGGGAGGGTGGGAAAAAATGGCTCCTTTGAATTTTTATTTCAAATCAGGCAGTAAAGTGAATAAAGACTCTTAGCTGCTACATACCAATATGCCTTGAGGACCTGCGTGTGGGCTCTTGGAACACTCAGACGGTGAGTCAGCAGTAGAGAGTGAAGGCTTACACTGAAGAGTCATCAGAGTGGGCTGCATTGCCCTGGTGGGTTGGAAAGTACAGATGTCAAACTGACCCTAAAGAAATAAAGGACAGGATAAGATGGATTTGGAAGAAAAGTCCTAGACCTTTTGAAATTGTCAAAGATCTTAAAGCATGTCTTGCAGTGTCCATCTTGTTTATCTAAATTTTCCTTTAAAAATATCCTCTGTGACAGTCTGCTGCCAACAGGTACTAAGGGTAATTTTTACCTGTAAAAAGGGCATTCCCTGGTACTGTGAGCTTTTCCTATGGAACACTCCTGATCAGTCATCTGCTTGGGGCTGAGAGAGACTCTGCCAGAAAGGGAATGACAAGGAAATGAAATGGCCAGAAAGGAGAGAGGGTTGGAGGGGAGAGAGAAGAGGCGGGGAAGCAAGAATGAACTTCACGTGTGGAGAAGCAGGGAGGAGGAAGGGGAGAGTGAGGCAGTGGAGTCTAAGCTGGAAATGGAAGCGATGAGGAGGGGCAATGTATTTTAGGAGGCAGGGAGAGGCAAGTGGAAAGAAAGGGCCCTAAGGAGACAAAAGGAAAATGATACGGGAAGTCTAAGACAGGCCGTGCTCGTTAAGTGAGCCTCCTGAATCACCCACTTGCCTGTCAGAGGGCATGTGAAGAAATGGAGGGTTAGAGCTGGCAGCTTCCTCCTCTTGTCAGCCCTCCGGTGTTCTTCCCCTCCCTGTCCCGTGGGTCAACTCAAGGCAGTTTGCTTTTCTTCCCGGGCAGTCTTAATACCTACCACGGTTCCCTCTGTCTCCCTCACTGACCCCATGGCTTTGCCACCAATCTGTAAGATAATGTCCCAATCAATGCAAGATTAACTCTAAAGCAGACCCCAAATTCTCAGCGAACTGAAATAGCCCAAGATAATGGGTAATGGAAGGGTAATGGCTTAACTGTTCTGTGTGTTTTTCATGCTAGTGTTTACTCAGACAGAAACAGCTTTTTTGAAAATTCTTGATGCAGAACAGATACGGAGAATTTTGGCTCCTTAAAATGCATTGATCAGAGGGACACAAAAATGGCTGTGCAGGTGACTACAGAAAATCCTTATTTCTAGGAAATAAATCAGCGTCTATCCATTTATCCATTGAAGCACTCTTTTTTTTATTTTTATTTTTTGCTTCTAGGTAGAAGAACGGTCGAGGCTCAACCGGCAGAGTTCACCTGCCATGCCTCACAAGGTTGCCAACAGGATATCTGACCCCACCCTGCCCCCGAGGTCAGAGTCCTTCAGCATCAGTGGAGTGCAGCCTGCTCGGACACCGCCCATGCTCAGACCAGTCGATCCCCAGGTACATTTCCCCCCTTCGTTCCGTCGGGCATTTCAAGAGGGTGTACAGTTAAACCTACTAACAGCCCAGGGGGTGGTGACATGGATTCAGGCATAGGACCAGTCAAATCATGGCCCTTAAAATAGACTCTGTAGTAATATAGGAGGCTGCACAGAACTTGAAAGGTAGAGGAAGCAGTGAGAGAGGAAAAAGCACCATTTTTAACTTTGAGTCAACCAGAGTCACTTCTTGTAAACTGGCCTCTCTGGAGAGCCCTAGGAGTTTCTGTGAGGTGGAAAACAAGCATCCTTTTAGTTATAATTACCAAACTAAAATTTGTATAGGCCTTTAAAATATACAAACTATTATATTATCTTTTATTCTTGGGATTTGAACCTGATCCTGAAACCGGAAAAACTAAATGGACTTGGTTAAGTAAAATGGTGTCTCTAAGCGCATGGTGCCCGAAGTGTGGTCACTGGACCAGCAGCATCAGCATCACCCAGGAACTTGGCAGAGATGCAGATTCTCCAGTCCTCCTCAGACCTGCTGATCAGCAGCTCTAGGGTTGGGTCTGGCTATCTGTGGTTTAACAAGCCCTCTAGGTGTTTCTGATGCTCTTTAGAGTTTGAGAACCACAAGTTTTTATTTTTTTTTAATTGAGGTAATATTGGTTTATAACATTATATAAATTTCAAGTGTATATCATTATATTTTAACTTCTGTGTAGACTACCTCATATTCACCATCAAAAGTCTAGTCGCCATCCGTCAATGTACACCTGTGCTCCTTTATCCCTTTTGCTTTTTCCCTAACCCCCTTCCCCTCTGGTAACCACCAATCTATTCTCTGTATCTATGTGTTTGTTTGTTGTTGTTGTTTGTTTACCTTCCACATATGACTGGAATCATGCCGTATTTGCCTTTTTCTGTCTGACTTATTTTGCTTAGCATAATACCCTCATGGTCCATCCATGTTGCTGCAAATGGCAAGATTCCATCTTTTTTTGTGTCTGAGTAGTATTCCATTGTATAGGTATACCACATCTTCTTTATCCATTCATTCACTGATGGTCACTTAGGTTGTTTCCAGGTTTTGGTTATTGTGAATAACATTGCAATGAACATAGGGGTGCATATATCTTTTTGAATTGGTGTTTCTCTGTTCTTTGGATAAATACCCACAAGTGGAATAGCTGGATCATATGGTAGTTCTATTTTTAATGTTTTGAGAAATCTAAATACTGTTTTCCATAGTGGCCACACCAGTTTACCTTCCCACCAGCAGTGTATAAGAGTTCTCTTTTCTCCACATCCTCTCCAACACTTGTTATTTCTTGTCTTTTTAATAATAGCCATTCTGAGATGCATGAGGTGATATCTCATTGTGGTTTTAATTTCCCTAATAATTAGTGATGTTGAAGATCTTTTTATGTGCCTGTTGGCCATCTGTATATCTTCTTTGGAAAAATGTCTGTTCAGCTCCTCTGCCCATTTTTTAATCAGATTGTTTGTTTTTTTGTTGTTGAGTTGTATGAGTTCTTTATATATTTTGGATTTTAACCCCTTATCAGATAATATGATTTGCAAATATCTTCTCCCAATTGGTAGGTTGTCTTTTCATTTTGCTGATGGTTTCTTTCGCCATTCAGAAGCTTTTTAGTTTGATGTAGTCCCACTCATTTATTTTTTTCTTTTGTTTCTCTTGCCTGAGGAGACATAGTCAAAAAGACACTGCTAAGACTGATGTCAAAGAGCATACTGCGTATGTTTTCTTCTAGAAGTTTTATGGTTTCAGGTCTTACATTCAAGTCTTTAACTTTTGTCTGTGGTATAGGATAGTGGTCTACTTTCATTCTTTTGCATGTGGCTGACCAGTTTTCCCAACACCACTTATTAAAGAGACTTTCCTTTCTCCATTGTATGTTCTCAGCTCCTTTGTCAAAACTTAGCTATCAGAGAACCACTGTTTTAAGCTATTTGAAAAAGAAAAAAGATTACTCCACTTTAAGAAAAGGAGGAAGTTTGGGGAAGTTTTAGAGGACTTTTTAGATTATGTATGCCAAAAATGAAATATGTAGTGAAATAAAATATGAAATTTCATGAAAGATAAAGGTAATACAGCTGCTTTCACTCAAATGCCTTAAATTTCTTCCAGGCATCCACCTGTGTTAACACTTCCACATAATATTTTGAGATCACCTTTGAAATATGTAATGCTATTTGAACTGGAGTTTAAAAGGCTAGAGAAAAAATCAAGGATTCTTGGTTTTAAATTTGCCTTTAGTACATGAGGTCCAAGATTTTTGAGCACCAGCCAGCTTAGCATGCCTTCTCCTTGGTTGTTTTTATTTGTATATAATTCTTTCACGCCTAACCTTCCATAGGATACATTTTTGTAAGAACTTCTCTTTTAGCACGCAAATGACCTCTTTTAAAACCTGTGACTTTGAACTTGTAGTGTACTTTGGTTCAGTAAAAGGGGAGAATGGAGGGAAAACTTATGAAACTTTATGAAAGTGACTAGGAAATGAAAAGGTAGATATCCTGTGACAGCTAATTGGATTAAGCACTCTTCAGGTGGTTCGATTTTTATTTTTATTTTTTTGGCTCTTTTGGAGTAGATTTGTGTTTTGTACTACATATGTTTAAAATATGCTTTGTTTTAATATTATTTAATATATTTAATGATGTTTAACCTTAGTATAAATCTGATTGGTTATAGTTCAATTCTGGTTGAAGCATAACATTCCGCTGAACTAGACTTTGAGGATTTTCTCTGAACTATAGTTAGTAACATTCCGGATTTCAGACCAAAGAGGGTCTGAAGAGGCTGGGGCAGGGCTGCTCCAGGGATAAAATTCTCAGGTGCTAGAGGAATGGGGCCAGGCTGGTGTAGAAAGGCTGTGGAAATGCCCCCCAGAAGTCCAGGCATTGAGATTTCAGACCAAAGAGGGACTGATAGGTCCCTTGGATAAAGCAGATAGTAGATTAACGTTTGTTGAATTAACAATTTAGAAAGCACTCTAGATGTTTTCCTAACCAAGATTTATTGACCACCTTCCACATGCCAGGCACAGTGCTAGATTCAGAGATATGATGTCAGACGTGGCTCCAGTGTCCAGGGGGCTTACCTTCACGATGGAGGAGACAGGCTTACATGGGCACTAGCAATAAAGTGTGAACAGTGCTAGTGGTAAAGGGTACTCTGAACTCTAGATTTTAATGATTTGTTATAGAGCCACATTTCCTGAATGTCTTGCCTGCATGAACAATATGAATACATGCCAGATTGTGAGAGTTACACCTAAAAAAAACGTCCTGGTGTCAAGAGGTATATAATATCATAGATGGTAAGAGCCAGTCCACCAGAAAGCAGGATAACATAGCAGTTGCGCGTATGGGCTGTGGGCATATGTCTGGGTTCCAATCCAGGCTCCAGCACGTATTAGCTGTGAAATCTAGGGTGTTACTTAACCTCTCTGTACCTTACAGCCTCATGTGTAAAAGGAGGAAAATAATTGTGTCCACCTCATGGTAGACTTAGTGAGTTCATAAGAAGATGTCCAGAGCAGTTCTTGTTTTACAGAGCAATAACATTTTCTAAAGTCAAGGTTAGGGGTTTTAAAGGAGGTGGTGTATAATATTAGAAGAGAAGTGCTTGTAAATATATCATCTTGCTGGTCAATTAATTGTTCACTAAAAAGTGCTATTGTTATTATCATCACCCTTATTTCACTGACTTCATAGCAGTCTCAAGGAAATCATTTAACTTTTTGCCAAGAACCCTGGTTCAGCCACACACATAGGTCTAAATGGAAAATTTCAGAGAGCTTTTAAAAGCTTGCTGCAGAAAGCCATGGTGGGCTCCATGTACTCCAATTCTTGTGCCCTAAAACTGTATTTTCCCTCCCACGGAGTGAGGTACAGGCTGATCTGCTTTCTCTTCTAATAATGCTGCTCTGATGTTGGTTTGGTGCTTAGATCCCACATCTGGTAGCTGTAAAATCCCAGGGACCTGCCTTGACCGCCTCCCAGTCAGTGCACGAGCAGCCCACCAAGGGCCTGTCTGGGTTTCAGGAGGCTCTGACTGTGACCTCTCACCGTGTTGAGATGCCGCGCCAGAACTCGGATCCCACCTCCGAAAACCCTCCTCTCCCCACTCGAATTGAGAAATTTGACCGAAGCTCTTGGTTACGACAGGAAGAAGATATTCCACCAAAGGTAATATTACTGGGATGTTTTTATCATCGTCATCGCTGTTTATTATTATTACCCCTATTCCAGATCTTTCATGGCAATGAAGAACATGATAATGACAAAGCACTGTCCCTTCTCACATTTGTTTTGGTCCCTTGTCATTCCCAAGCTAGGACTTGGATTGTCATTTATCATTTCTGACTTCTGTTTTCCCCAAAGAAATGGAGACTCAGGTAGACTGAATGACTTGGAAGCATATATTCTGTATCCAGAATTAGAACTCTTAACCCCAAGCATTCTAAACTTTATTTTACTATCCATATTAAGAAATAGAATAATGGCTATCTCCTTTGATGACCGAATCTACATCTAGACCAATTGAAAACTTCCAGATAAAAAGTAGAAAATTCACTTATTCCTATTTTTAATAACACAAAGTGCAATGAGATTTCGAGTATTCAGAAGGTAGTATTGCTCTTAGGATATTTTAGTAGGCCCCATTTAAAGAAAGCTCCTTCTGGGCCAGCTCATAATCTAATACCAACCTTAGTTAATTATTGAGGATAAAACTGTAGAGTAAAATGATGAGCCAGCCCACTGGATAGAACAGTCCTGGGTTCGGGTTCTTGTTTTGTGTTTGCCTATACCAAGTTGTTACTTTTTCCTCAAAACGTCCCGAAATGTGGCCACGCATCTCACTACAGACAACTTGAAAGTGTTTCAAAATACTGAAGAAACTTTTGCATCAGATTCTTCCTAGTTCAGGATTCCTCTTACTCCTGAGCTCAGCACAGGGGCTATGACAAATGGAATATCCCACAGTTTCCAGAGATCAATGTCATTGTTGTTTCCAGGAAAAAAAAAACTAACACTTTTTACCCAATGATTTTTTTTTAAATATTTTTGCTCATTTTCTGCTCAAAAGGGCATTATAACAGGATTTCCATTATTTTGAAAATGAAGATAGCTGATAATGGTTTTTTTGTTGGTGTTCTCCTCTTGTGGAAGCAGAGATGCCTTTGGAAAAGATTATTTAGGGAGCAAAGTTCAATATGGAAAATAGGATAGCAGAGAAATGGAAAATAGGATGGGCAGAGACATGGAAAATAGGATGGGCAGAGAAATGGAAAATGGGATGGGCAGAGGAGCAAACACGAGAGGTGAGGAAAGTGACTGTGGGAGTTATTGGTCCACTCTCTAAAAACATGCAGGCGTACACTTACAGAGCTGGGAGAAAAATTAAGATCAATGCAAAGATTTTAGATTTTAATAATTCATTAGACTCTTTCTTCTCTACAACTATTTAAGTTTACAAAAAGAAAAAGGAGGAATAGTAGTAGTAATGTTTCATTTGAGCAGGTGGTGATACTGATTTGGTCATTCTGTGTCACTTGACTGACTCATCTTTCTAGGTCTTTTATCTTAAAATGTATGATAATAACCGATAAATTTATGTTAATGTTAATATCATTAAGTATATTAAACAAAAATATTAAAACAAAGCACATCTTAAAAATATCTGGTATAAAACACAAACACACTTTAAAAGAGCCAAAAAAGTGAATGAAAATCAAAGCACCTGATGAATGTTTAACCCAAAAAGCTGTGACAGGATATCTGTGTTTCCATTTCCTAGTCAACTTTCATAAAGTAAGTTTTCCCTCTTTAGTACACTTGCAATATTTGATTTCATTAAAAAATGTTTCATAAAATGAGGCATACCTGCATTCTACCTTAGGCCCTTGCCAGATAAGCTAATAATGCATTTTCCTACTGTACCTCACAGTCCAATTGGTACTCGCATAGTCTTTTTGAAGACCCTTCCAGTATTTTCAGTATTCATCCTGTTTTGTATAACATTTGCAAGTTGACCTTCCAAAGCGCAGCATTTTGGGTTTCATTTTCAATTAGTAATTGCAAGCTGATTAGGAAGTAGAAACGTGCGGGATCTATTGCAGTAGTTTTTCTGAGCTCACTGACATGTGGCTTCTGTCCCAGCTGCTAGCCGGATACCGTAGTTTCTCCCCAGATTTCGTAATTTCCTTATCTGTTTATCGGTTGGGATGTGAGCCAAAAATGAAGCTCGGTTTATCTGGAAGGTGCTCATCTGATGCCCTTTCCAATGATCAGGTGAGTTAATGGTACCCTAAAGAAATTTCTGGTATCTACCACTCTTGCACAAATGGAGGTCAATTATTTTAATCCAATGAATTAAAATTAGTTTGGTCTGTTTTTAAACTTAATTTTAAACTTGAGGACCATACTCCTTAATGGTTGCTGAATTTGCCTCACTGCTATTCATTTGACCTTGTTTTAGGAGTTAAATATTTCTTTGAGAAATGAAAGGTATTTCTTCCCTGTTTCTGATAGTTTGTAAATCTTGGCAAATCTTTGGAAAGGAGTAGGTTTCTTTTCAGTAAGTAGCCTATGGAAGCTATTTTACAGAAAATATTTCTGAATTCTGGTTTTCTTTCAGGTGCCTCAAAGAACAACTTCTATATCCCCAGCGTTAGCCAGAAAGAATTCTCCTGGAAATGGTGGTGCTCTGGGACCCAGACTAGGATCTCAGCCCATCAGAGCAAGGTAAGGGAAGGAAGATGGTTACGGTGTAGGGAAAAGCTCCCACCCACCATTGTTATTGTCTTCCTTGCTTTCCTAAAAAATGTCTTTGTTCTTTTTTCACTTCGGAGGCACGTTGACTGGCCACCTAGACTGTAAGCTTTGGTAGGCCAGGCCACATGCCTTTTATTTCTTCGGTAGCCTTTCACGGAAATCAGCGCACAGTGGGGGCTCATGAATGAATGAGTAAATGAATGAATGAATGAGGCAACCCAGAAGCCAATCAGGTCTACTTTAGTTGACAGTTTAAAAAATCTGGGAGTAAAATTGCAAATGTAAGTCTGGTTGCAGTACCCCAAAACATTACCTCAGAGACAGTTTCATGGTGTCAGCAGAACAGAATGGCCTGGTTTGAGACGATTTTTAGCATCAGGTCAAGAAATGTGCCCTGGGAATCTTGAAACATTACTAAGTGATTGCCAAGGAAATACAGTCCTGACCAGCTTCAGAGGTTCCCTAGCTTGGCAAATGACAGAAGGACTCGCTCTTATGAGGAAATCACCTCTTTGGCATTATTCAGGGTCACTAAATACAGTTATGTTTCCACTGTTGCTCTGTGCTCTCCTAGAACTTTCCATCAACAATGTATATTCCTACAGTCAGGAAGTTGCATCCACTTATTGCTTGGCGTAGAGGTCTCAAGAGAAGCTGGAAAGTAAACAATATCTTTACAGTATCTGAGCAGATTTTATGTGGTAACAGATGCTGTTTGCGGCTATAGTTCATCAAGCTTCCCTCAGATTTTTCATGATGAATACACCCCTTTTTAGGACCAACTGAAATAGCAAATGGCCTCTGCTGAGACTATAAAAAGGATGAGCTTTGGCAGGCTGTTTACTTCTTTTTCATTGTGTTCATAATAAGAGAAGGACTCTCACTTGCTAGTGAGAGAGAAAGACTGGAAATGCAGGTTTGGATTATTCGTACATATCTTTAAAATATGGAATGCCTTTGATCATGAAGCTTTAATTTTCCTCTTCACATGAAAAGCCTTAGGAAGGGGTCAGTCCATAAGTAAGATGGAAGTGCCCTAAGTGCTAATCCATTTAGGGCAAAGAAGCCAGCCCATTCTGATTGGAATTACCAATTGCAGGAAGCTCTGAATGAGCCATTTTTTTCCAGTGACTTATCAGGTTCACGCCAAGCTGGTGTTGCTAAGCAGCGCTGAGAAAGACTGGAATGCCCTGTGACCAGGGAGCCAAAGGAATGTTAGTCCTGGACTGCCAGCCTGAACTTTATCAGTCCCCCTCTTCAAGCAGTGATAAGCCCACAATTTATCAGCGCTTTTTCTCCTTTGAACTCTGCCCTCGAAGCTCTGTTCATTGAAATAATTGCTTGGAATTTTAGTTGCTATAGATCAAGCATCATTTCAGCTTTAAGTCTTTTTCTATTAACCAAAAGAAACAGAGAGAACTATCATTATATAGTCAAATGAAGAGCAGCTCTTTGTTCCTTCTCAAATGTTGTTTTAATGACATTAGGGCCTAAGATAGTTGATGTTTGTTGGTCAGTTTGCAAACCATCCACTTTTCCCTTGGAACCACTTAAATATGGTACTTTGTGCAAAGAATGGAGACGTTTTGAGGCAGCTAACATTTGTCTGCTTACAGAGGAGGTATGGTGGGAGTGAGCTGTGAGGTAATAATCACTCGCCTACAGTGAAAGTCAGAGCAACGGTGGGGAGGGGAGGGACGGAGAATCTCCATCTCTGCCATGTGGAGTAATCCTACCGCACACGCCTGCTTCTTACTATCACGTATCTCCAAGCAGCCAACATTTAAGATGTGAATCAGACTTTGCAACTCTCGATTGGATTGCATTTTTAAAAGCTCCAGGATTTGGCTTGTTTACTGTAATAGGCATAGCTTTGGTTCATCTTCACTGCATAATAAAGCACCCCAAAATTTAGTAGTCTGAAATAATAACAATTTATTATTTCTCATGAGTCTGTGTTCACTAAGAAGTTCTGCTGGTCTCGCCTGACCTCACGCACACAGCTGCACTGAGCTGAAGGTTTAGCTGCACTGAACGTGTGGTCTTTCATCCTGGGCTTCTTTATTGTTTGGCCATCTCAGGACGGCATTCCAAGAGAGAAAGCCCCAGTGCACAAGTGCTTTTCAAGTGTTCGCTTGCACGTCTTTGCTGATGTCCCATTGGCCATCACAAGTCATGTAGTCCAGCCCTGAGTCCGTGTATAGAGGAAATACATAGGGGTGTGGACACTGGGAGATGTGATTCACTGGGAGCCGTTACTGTAACACAGAGACTGTCTTACTTTCTGTTGGTCCTAATGAGGTCTTTATAATTCTTTTCTGTTTCTAGTTTATTTTTTTATTGTGGTATCATTGGTTTATAACATTATATAAATTTCAAGCGTACATCATTATATTTCGACTTCTGTATAGACTGCATTGTGTTCACCACCAAAAGTCTAGTTGCCATCTGTCACTGTACAGATGTGCTCTTTTACCCCTTTTGCCTTCCCCTAAAACTCCTTTCCCCTCTAGTAACCAACAATCTGTACTCTGTACCTATGTGTTTGTTTCTTGCTGTTGTTTGTTTATCTTCCAAATATGAGTGAAATCATACGGTATTTGGCTTTCTCTGTCTGACTTATTTTGCTTAGCATAATACCCTCAAGGTCCATCCATGTTGTTGCAAATGGCAAGATTTCATCTTTTTATGGCTGAGTAGTATTCCACTGTATATATACACCACATCATCTTTATCCATTCATCCAAGTCTTAGGTTGTTTCCAAGTCTAGGCTATTGTGCATAATGCTGCAGTGAAAATAGGAGTGCATGTATCTTTTCCAATTAATATTTTCATGTTCTTTGGATAAATACCCAGAAGTAGAATAACTGGATCATGTGGTAGTTCTATTTTTAATTTTTTTGAGGAATCACTATACTGTTTTCCTTAGTGGCTACAGCAGTTTACATTCCCACCAGCAGTGTACGAGGGTTCTCTTTTGTCTACATCCTTTCTAACATTTGTTATTTCTTGTCTTTTTAATAATAGCCATTCCTATGGGCATGAGGTGATTTTTTGGTTGTGATATGGGTATTGTGGTTTTGATTTGCATTTCCCTAATAATTAGTGATGTTGACATCTTCTCATGTGCCTGTTGGCTGTCTGTAGATCTTCTTTGGAAAAGTGTCTGTTCAGATTCTCTGCCCATTTTTTAATTGGGTTGTTTGTTTTTTTGTTGCTGAGTTGTATGATGTTGTTGAATTTTAGATATTAATCCTTAATCAGATATATGACTTACAAATATATTCTCCCAGTTGGTAGGTTGTCCTTTCATTTTGTTGATGGTTTCTATTGCCATTCAGAAGGTTTTTAGTTTGATGTAGTCCCCTTTGTTTATTTTGTCTTTTGCTTCTCTTGCCAGAGGAGACATATTCAAAAAGATACTGATGTCAAAGAGTGCTCTGCCTATATTTTCTTCTAGGAATTTTATGGTTTCGTGTCTTACATTCGAGTCTTTAATCCTTTTTTTTTTTTGAGGAAGATTAACCCTGAGCTAACATCCACTGCCCATCCTCCTCTTTTTGCTGAGGAAGACTGGCCCTGAGCTAACATCTTTGCCCATCTTCCTCTACTTTATATGTGGGACACCTACAACAGCCTGGCTTGATAAGCGGTGGATAGGTCCATGCCCAGGATTCAAACCGGTGAACCCTGGGCTGCTGAAGCAGAGTTCGCATACCTAACCAGTGTGCCACCAGGCTGGCCCCTCTTTAATCCATTTTGAGTTAATTTTTGTGTGTGGTATAAGATACTAGTTTACTTTTATTCTTTTGCATGTGGCTGTCCAGTTTTCCCAGCACCATTTATTGAAGAGACTTTCCTTTCTCCATTGTATTTTCTTGACTCCATTGTCAAAAATTAGCTGTCCACAGACGTGTGGGGTTATTTCTGAGCTTTCAGTTCTGTTCCTTTGATCTGTGTGTCTTTTTTGTGCCAGTACCATGCTGTTTTGATTACTACAGCTTTGTAGTATACTTTGAAATCAGCGAGTGTGATGTCCTCAGCTTTCTTCTTTTTTCTCAGGATTGCTTTGGCTATTTGGGATCTTTTGTTGTTCCATATAAATTTTAGGATTCTTTTTTTATAGTTTCATGAAAAATGTCATTGGGACTTTGATAGGGATTGCACTGAGTGTGTAGATTAGCGTGGACATTTTAACTTTGCTAATTCTTCCAATCCATGAGCATGGAATATCTTTCCATTTTTTTGTGTCTTCTTTGATTTCTTTCAACAACGTTTTATAGTTTTCAGTGTACAAGTCTTTCACATCCTTGGTTAAAGGTATTCCTAGATATTTTATTTTTTTTGTTGCAATTGTACGTGGGATTGTATTCTTAATTTCTCTTTTTGCTATATCGTTCTTAGTGTATAGAAACACAACTGATTTTTGTATGTTGATTTTGTACCCTGAATACTACTGTATTCATTTGTTATTTCTAATAGTTTTTTGGTGGATTCATTAGGGTTTTCTATATATAAGATCATATCATCTGCAAATAGTCACAGCTTTACTTTCTTCCTTTCCAATTTGGATCCCTTTTATTTCTTTTTCTTGCCTAATTGTTCTGGCTAGGACTTCCAATACTATTTTGAATAAGAGTGGTGAAAGTGGGCATCCTTGTCTTGTTCCTGTTCTTAGAAGGATAGCTTTTAGTTTTTTACTGTTGACTCTGATGTTAGCTGTGGGTTTGTCATATATGGCCTTTATTATGTTGAGGTTCTTTCCTTCTATACCCATTCTATTCAGAGTTTTTATCATAAATTGATGCTGAACATTGTTGAATGATTTCTATCTATTGAGATGATAATATGATTTTTATTCTTCATTTTGTTACCAAAAAAAGTACCCAGAAAAATACCCATATCACATTGATGGATTTACAGATGTTGAACCATCCCTGCATCCCTAGAATAAATTCTGCTTGATCAT